TCAGGAGAAGCTGTCGTCTCCATAGTGGGTTCTGCAGTTATGGTAAGCCCCAGGTTCACAGACTTAACTGTGACATTTGGTAAGTTTGAATGCTGAGCTTGACCTGTAGGTGGAGCTGCCACCTCATGATGCACTGGAAATTGAGTTACAACTTCCTCAGGTGGCTCTGGAGGCTGAGTTGGGGTCTCTTGACTGGTTTGAGAAGGTTCAGCCTCAGTTTTGTATTCTGGAGATATGGTAAGCACAAGGTCCACAGGTTTAGCTGTGACACTGGCCAAGGTTGAATGCTGAACTTTATCTTGACTTGTAGGTGGATCTGTCACCTCATAATGTGCTCAATGTTAAGCTACAAAACGCTTAGGAGGTTTTGGAGGCTGACTTAGAGTTTCCTGCTTGGTTGGAGTAGACTCAACCTCTGTCTTGGGTTCTGGAGATATGGTAAGCTCCAAGTCCAATGGAACTGTGGTCTTGTTTAGGGTTGTAGAACACTCAACCTCTGTAATGGGTTCTGAAGTTATGGTAAGCTGCAGATCTATAGGCTTAATGGTAACTTTGGGTAAGTTTGAGTGCTTTGCTTGATCCTGACCTGCCAGTGTTGTTGGAGAAATTTCAACCTCCATATTGGGTTCTGGAGTTATAGTAATCTCCAAGTGCAGTGGTTGAACTGTGACTTCAGTCAGGTTTGGCTGCTGAGCCTGAACCTGCTCTGGATGTACAAGTATCACCTCAGGGCAATTTGGAGAAGTTGTAGTCTTCTGTGGGGTTGTAGAATGTTCACCTTCCATAGTGTGTTCTGGGGTTATGGTAAGGTCCAGGTCAATATGTTGAGCTGTAACGCTGGGCAAACTTAAGTACTGAGCTTGATATTGGCCTGTTGGTGGAATTGTCACCTCATCGAACACTGGATGTTGAGCCACACCCTCCTTAGGAGGTTCCAGAGGTTGAGCTGGGGTCCACTGTTGGGTTGTCAAAGATTCCACCATCTCAGTAGGCTCTGAAGGCTGTGTTGGAGCTTCCTGCTGGATTGAAGATTCCACCTCATTAGCAGGCATAGGAGGCCTGCTGGACTGCAGAAGGCTCCGTCTCTTTATGGGGCTCTGAAGGATGCACTTGTACCTCCTGCTGGATTGGAGAAGGCACAGCCTCGTTAGAGGGCTCAGGAACCTGAGGTAGGACTTTCTGCAGGGATGGAGAAGGCTCTATTTCACCTGAAGGTGAAACTGGGACTTCTTGCTGGATTGTAGAAAGTTCAACTTCTTTAGGGGGCTCTGCAGGCAGGGCAGAGGCTGCCTGTTGGGCTGGAGATGGTTGGTTATTCTCAGAGGACTCTGAAGGTAGAGCTGGAGACTCCATCTGGACTGGAGAAGGTTCTAACTCCTTAGGGCCTTCTGGAAGTGCGGTTGGCATCTCCTGCTCTGCATTTTCAGGGGGCTCTTTAGACAGAGTAGGTGTTTCCTGCTGGACTGGAGAAGGTTGGCCTACTAATTCAGGGGGCTGTGGAGGTGGATTGGAGACCTCCTGCTGTACTGGATATGGTGTCCTGTTCAGTAGTTCTGGAGACTGAGGTGGAATCTCCTGAGTAGGAGAAAGCCCAACTTCTTTAGGAGGCTCTGTAGGCTGAAATGGGATCTCCTGTTGAGTTGAAGAAGGTTCAACCTGCATAGGGGACTCAGGAGCCTGAGTTACAGCTCCCTGCTGGGCTGGAGAAGGTTCAACTTCCTTAGGGGGCACTGGAGGCTGAGATGGGATCTCCTGCTGAGCTGGAGAAGCTTCTACCAGTGTAGGTGGCCCAGGAGACTGAGTGGAGAATCCTTGCTGGACTGGAGAAGGTTCAACTTCCTTAAGGGGCTCTAGAGGCTGAGATGAGGCCTCTTGCTAGGTTGGAGAAGGTTCTACCTGCATAGGAGGCTCAGGAGACTGAATTGGGCTCTCTTGTGCTGGAGAAGGCTCAACTTCCTTAGGGGGGGTGCTGGAGGCTGAGATGGGGCCTCTTGCTGAATTGGAGATGGCTCTGCCTGCATAAGGGGCTCAGGAGATTGAGTTGGGGCCTCCTGCTGGGCTGGAGAAGGCTTGATTTCCTTAGGGGGCTCTGGAGGCTGAGATGGGGCTTCCTGATGGAATAGAGAAGGTTCAACTGGAGGTTGGGATGAAGCCTCTAGCTGGGTTGGGGAAGGTCCTGTCTCTGTAGTGGGTTGTGAAGTTATAGTAAGCTCCAGGTCCAGATGTTGAACTGTGGTTTGGGGCAATGTTGGACACTGAGCTTCATTCTGACCTATAGGTAAAACTGTCACTTCATGGTCCCCTGGATGTTGAGTTACCACCTCTGTAGGAGGCTCTGAAGTCTCAGGTGGGGTGTCCTGCATGTTTGAAGGATGTTCTTCCTCCTCAGGTTCCTCTGGAAGCTGACCTGGGGCTTCTTGCTGGCCTGAAGGAAGTTGGACCTCTTCAGTGGGATCTGCAGGTGTTGTTGGGTCCTCTTCCTGGGCTGGAGAAGGTTCAACCTTCTCAGTGGACTCTGAGGTCTGTGATGAGTCTTCTTGATGGTTTGGAGAAGGTTCATCCTCTGTAGGATGCTCTGGAGTTTGAGGTGGGGCCACCAGGTGGCTTGGAATTGGTTCCATCTCATCAAGGGGCTCTGGAGATTGAGTTGTGGTTTCCTGCTGGACTGGTGCTGGAACCTCTGTAGTGGCTTCTGAAGTTATGGTAAGCTCCAGGTCCAGAGGTTTAACTGTGACATTGGGCAACATTAGATGCTGAGCTTCACTTTGTCCTGGAGGTAAAATCATTACCTCATGATGGCCTCCTGGTTGATTAAAAACCTCTGTAGGGGGCTCTGGAGGTAGTGATAGGTCCTCCTGCTGGGTTAGAGAAGCTTCATCCTTCTTACAGTGATCTGGGGGTTGTGTTGGGTCATCCAATTGAATTGATGAATGTTCAACTTCCTCAAGGAGTTCTGAAGGCTGAGCTGAGTCCTGCTGGATAGGAGAAGTTTCATCCTCCTTATTGAGCTCAGTAAGCTGTGGTGGGTCCTCCTGCTCACTTAGAGAACGCTGGGAATCATCAGCAGGATCTGGGTCCTCTTGCAGGTCTGAAGATTTGATCTCCTTAGGTGGATCTGGAGGTTGAGCTAGGATTTGCCCCTCAGTTGAAAAAAGTCACATCTCCTCAGGGGACTCCGGAGGCTGAGTTGGGACTTCTTTTTGTGTTGGAGAATGTTTAACTGATACTTGAGGCAAGACTGAATGCTGAATTTGTGGAGGACCTGGAGGTTGAAATTTCACTTCATCATGCAATGAAGGTAAAGTTAAAACCACATTTGGGGACTCTGGTGGCTGAGCTAGGTCCTCCTGATGGGTTGGAGGTTTGACCTCTTCAGGAGGATGAACTGGAGGAGGCTCAACATTTTCCTGAGTCTTTGATGACTGAACTGGAGACTCCTGTTTCATTGCCGATTTCCCCTTCTCAGAAGGAGTCTCTGGAGGTTGAGGTGGGACAGCATGCTGGGTTGGACATGAATGAAGCTCCTTAGTGGGTTCTGGAGTTAGGGTCAGCTGCAGATCAGCAGGCTTAACTGTAACATTGGGCAAGTTTGAAAGATGAGGCTGGGTTGGGGCCTCCTGCTGAACTGGAGAAGGTTCCACCTCTTCAGGGAGTTTTACAGGCTGATGTGCGGCCCCTTGCTGTACTGGAGAAGCCTGAACAGGGGCCTCCTCCTGGGTTGGAGAATGTATGGTTTCCTCAGAGGGCTTTGAAGGTTTAGCTGGCAATTCCTGCTGAGTCTGAGAAGGTGCAATACCCTCAGAGGGCTTTGAAGGCTGGGCTGGGGCCTCATGCTGTTTTGGAGGTTTAACCTGAGGAGGTTCAGGAGGTTGTGCTGGGGTTTCCTGCTGGACTAGAGTTTCACTCTCCTCAGGGAGTTCTGGAGGTGCAGCTGGGGCCTCTTGCTCTGCTGAAGGAGGTTTAATTTCTTTGGGGAGACTTAGAGTCTCACCTGGAAACTCCTGGTGACTTGCAGAAGGTTCACTACCCTCAGATGGTTTTGGAGGCTCTCCTGGAACTTCCTGCAGCACTGGAGAAAGTTCTATTTCCTCAGGGAGCTCTGCAAGTGGAACAGTGGCCACCGGCTCAGTTGGAGGTTTGAACTCATGGGGAAGCGGAGGAGCCAGTGTGGGGGCTTCTTGGTGGACTGGAGAAGGTTGCACTTCTTCAGGAAGCTCTGGAGGGAGAGCTGAGGCCTCTAGCTGGACTGGAGATGGTTCAATCTCCTCAAGGTGTTCTAGAGCTGCACCTGGGGCTTCCTGTTGGCCAGGAGATGTTTCCACCTCCTCAGAGGGCTTTGGAGGCTGAGCTGGGGCTTCCTGCTGTATTGGAGAAGGTCCAAACTCCTCAGGGGGCTCTGAAGCCTGAGATGGAGCCTCCTGCTGCCCTGGAGAAGGCTCAACCTCCTCTGGAGACATTGGAGGCTGTGTTGGGGCTTCCTGCTGGACCGAAGAAGGTTCAAAGTCTTCAGAAGGCTGTGGAGGGTGAGCTGGAAATTCCTGCTGCATTGGATAAGGCTCAAACTCCTCAGGGGGCTCTGGAGGCTCAGCTGAAGACTTCTGCGGGACTGGAGAAGGACCCACTTCCTCAGATGGTTTTGGAGGGTGAGCTGGAGCCTCCTGCTGGGTTGGAGAAGGTCCCACCTCCCCAGAGGGCTTAGGAGAGTGAGCTGGAGCCTCCTGCTGGGTTGGAGAAGGTCCCACCTCCTCAGAGGGTTTTGAAGGGTGAGCTGCTGCCTCCTGCTGAACTGGAGAAGATCCAACCTGCTGGGGAGCCTTTAGAGGCTGTGCTGAGGCTTCCTGCTGGACTGGAAAAAGCTCAACTTCCTCAGTGGGCTTTAGAAGATGAGCTGGGACCTCTTGATGGACTGGGAAAGGCTCAATAGCTTCAGAGGGCATCTCAGATGGACCTGTGGCCTCCTGCTGAGTTGAAGGTTTAACTTCTTGGGGAAGTTTTAGTGGCTATGCTAGGCCTTCCTGCTGAGTTGGACATGATTGTACTTCCTCAGTAGGCTCTTGAGTTAGGGCAAGCTCCACATCCACTGGTTTAATTGTGACAGTGGGCACGGTTGAATGATGAATTTGATTCTGCCCTGGAGGTTGAAGAGTCATCTCATGATGCACTGAACTTGGAGTTGTAACTACCTCAGGCGGCTGTAGAGACTGAGTCTGGACCTCCTGCTGAGTTAGCTATGGCTTACTCTCCTCAAGTACTTCTGGAGTCTGAAATGGGGTTTCCTGTTGCACTGGAGAAGGTTCTAACTTATGAGGGGGTTCTGAAGGCTTAGATGGGACCTCCTCTGGGACTGGAGGTTTATCCTCTTCAGTGGTCTGCAAAGTCTCAACTGGGCCTTCCTGCTGGAGTGGAAATCGTTCCATCTCCGTAGCGGACTCTGGAGGCAGATTTGGAACTTCCTGATGGGCTATGAAAGGTTTCATTGCCTGAGGAGCCTCTTGTTGGACTGAAGGTTCCTCCTCCTCAGGAAGCTCAGGACCTTCCATATCAGAAGGTAGAGTAGGCTCAAATCCAACCTCCTCAGGGGGATCTGGAGGCTGACGATGCCAAGAGGTTGGTGACGCTGGGGTCCCTAGGAATTCTAGGGGTAGGCTGTCTGAAGGATATAATACATCAAAACTTGGGTCTAGAAGGTAGTCATTCTCTGGTTGATTTAGTCTGTTTGTTATTTTTGCTAATTGGCCTGAAGTTCCAACAACAACTTTAGCAAGTTGTCTATGCTGTGCTAGATCCTTTTTCAGGTTTGGAGGTGAAACAGTAAACTTAGTTGCTCTTGAACTATGACTATCTAGAGGTGGTACAAGTATTTCAAATGACTGGTGACCTTCAGCCTGACTCATACCTGGAGGTTCAATCTTACTTTTGAGTTGAGGAGGCAGAGCTAAGGCCTGATTCTGCTCCCAGTCTAGCACAGGTCCCACCTCTGGAAGCTTCTGATGTGGAGTTAGGTGGTCATTAAGATCCTGATGTGTGCCAGCAAACTGGTCTGTAGCTGAATCCATGTCCAAAGTCTCAGTTAATTCCTGAGGCGGGGCCAGCATCTGGGCTGGAGCGGGAGGATCCATGTAGTCAGAGCCCTCTGGCTCAGGCAAGGATATAAGCTTGTGGGGCGATTCCGGTAAGTGATCAGGGGAGGGCGAAGACCAGGGTTTAGTCAGGTCCCGGGCCCACTCTGGAAGCGGGGCAGCCAGGACCAGCAGCCAAAGGGGTTGCAGCACGAGTAGGAGCCGCAGGGACCAGACGCACTGCCGGGTCATGACAAGCGGAGGCTCCTGGGTGCAGCGACCCAGACCAATGAAGTCCTGGTGCTGCGCCCTAAGTGGGAGCCCAACCTTTATGACAGCACGTGATACACTGCACCTTAGCAACCATGTGCCCCTCCCCCGCCACGAGCCCCATCCTTTGTTTACTCACCACTTTTATTAACTCAGAGGTCAGTTCCATGTCACTATGGCCAGCCCTTTTCCTAGAATCACCAGGTCCCAAGCTTCCCTTCCCTAGAAGATGAGGCAGGGCTTCCTATCCCCCACCCTCACAGCAAGGCAGGATTAGGACTCCTGTCCCCACCGCAGCCCTCAGGCTCCAGCTTCACCAGCTTCTAGGCATACTGCAAAGTGCTCGTCTGTTTCTGGCAGCCAGAACTCTTCCACCTCCAAACTCAACCCCAGACTTTCTTCCTTCTCTTGTCCATACTGTTTCCAAGAAAAGTAACTGACCTGTAAAACGAGAACTATTTAGGCGCATCAACACCCAGATATTAAAGTGATTCCAAAAGGTTTCTATTTCCTCAAAACTCTCCTTTGCTCTTTGTTCCATATTTATTAACTCACCACTGTGTTAGGTAGGGGACCGCTACTACGCGGGGGAATGATGAGGCTTTCTGCTCCCGGAAAGATTTACAGCCTCGCTGTAATCTTCCGTCGCTCTGAGACGGAATCGACTCCACGGCACATAACCCCACCACCACTACTCAGTGATGATGCCAAACTTTCTGGAGGAGGCTTAGAAAATGAACAGTTTGCTCTGAGAGGGTTTGAATCACAGTACAAAGTATTTCACATTGGCATGGAAAAAGTTTCCCCATCTTACCTTGTTTTATTCAAGACAGTCACACATCTAGAAAAAATACCCCAACATTTTGGAGGTCCACCTTTGTACCTTTGTGTACATGGAGAAGGATGTCAAAGTAGCTAGCATGTTAATGACTTCTTGAAATACTACTAAAACCACACCCACTTGCTTACTTATAGACTTTTCTTATAAGCTTTTATTTACTGAGGGGGCTTCAGAAAGTTCATGGAAAAATTCCATTATCATTTCTTTCAATTTTTTAATGAACTTTTTGAAGCATCTTCTTATTTTCTTGTTTATTTTCTAGCACAGCCTCTAGCGTATACACTTCAAGGGCGGGTGTGTGTGTGTATGTGTGTGGATGGGAACGCTTCATCATCTTATTCCCAGTGTCTAGCATATGTGCTCAGTCCTATAGCATGGCTATAGGGCAGTGGGAAGCATATATATGAGTTGACACATAGTAATGGTTTTCAAATGATATTGACTCCAAGATGGCCTCTTTTGCTTTAAGAGGCTTCAGAAGCAGTGGTACCTGAGATGGAGGCAGATATGATGACTTGAAGAGATGGAGCAGTTGGGGACTTTAGACGCAGAGAGGGAGAGGGGCTGTGTGCTGACAACCGGGGGGCAGGCTTGTAGTGTATATCCTTTGGTTGGGCGATGATGCATGGAGGGTATTGTAACCATGGCAATGAAACGATATACAATAGGATGAATGTAAAATAATGTTCTAACATGTAAAGTAACACATAATTCACAATAAAACATTAAAAAAAAAAGAGGTTTCAGAAACCTTTAGCACCAATATTGAATATTATATTCAACAGGAGCTAGACTTCTTAAAGCCCAGCTGGAAAAGCCTGAAGTTCCCTTGACTGGATTTTATTTAAATTAATGAAAACAACTATTTTACATGGAAAAATCAAGTACTTTTTCAGAAGAGGACAACCTTCTCTTTTTCTACCTTCTTCCCTTCAAAACAAAACACCTTGCAACTGTGGGGTGAGTTAAGTAACTCAGTGAAGCTTCCATTGATCCAGGTTAATGAAACACAACTTTCTGCTCCCAACTTCATTGCTATTATCATTATTATTAAAGAAAAGAATCCTACAGTTAACAAAGTTTCTTTTAGATATGATTCTGGCAGATTAATGCTTAATTTAGATAATAGATTTATTACAAAAAGTTCCTTCAGGACACCATTTCATTTTCATATAAGACATGAGGTTCTGAGATCTAGGCAATACACCTTATTTGAAAGACATAATAGTTTTCAAAATTTATAGCACATTCACACTTACGGTCATAGTTGTTTAGTCTCCCAACCCCTGGGATCCTGTTTGAGGGAAGTTCTAAAAGGCCTTGTTCAAACAGCCTCACAGTCTTAAGCCCTAAAGAGGGAGAATGACCTTTTTAGGGGTTAAGACCTCTTTAGGTCTGTCCACAGCTGCCAGAGTGCTCTGATGCTTCTCAATCCTGCTCTCCAAACTTTAGATAAAGAATCCGAGTCAAGGGCCAAGGCTTCAGGAAAAGCCCTAGGAATGACTTGCCCTGAAAAGCAGTTTCAGAGTTTCATGTTCTCATAAGACTGACAGCTTTCTGTGAGTGTCTGAGTTCTCTCAATCCTGCTGGTTGTGTGGAATGATGGTCACACTAGCTGTGCATCTCCACATACATGAATGAACTCCTGGAGTCCTTTTTCAGTTCTGGAATCTATGATTTCTTCACTGGGAGTATACTCCACGGCTATTTTACCACTTTCTGAAACAAAATGAACAAGGAATAATTCAAAATTATTGTTTTAAAAGTTGTTGCATTAAAAAAAACAAAAAACAAACCCAACTGTTGGGAACTGCTACCATTTTGGTTAGCCAGCCTTTGAGTTAGCAGCCAACCCTGTGTAACACCCTATGATACCACATACAATGGTTGTTGTTGTTAAGTGTCATTGAATTGGTTCCAACTCTATATAGGGTTTCTGAGACTGCAAATCTTTGCAGGTGCAGAAATGTTCATCTTTTTCCTGACATACAATGATTGTTTTTGTTGTTGTTGCTAAGTGCCGTCGAGTTGGTTTTGACCCACAGTGACCCTGTATAAGGTTTCTGAGGAGGCTGGTGAGTTTGAAGCACTGACCTTGCTGTTCAAACTGACTTTGCAGTCCAGTGCATTACCCCACTGTGCCATACTAGGACTCTGCACAATGGCAGCACTTAGTAACAAGGCATTCTTGTAATTCCTAAGAAGCCCTGGTACCTAGTGGCACTATGGGTTAGGTACTGGACTGCTAACTCCGAGGCTAGGGGTTCAAACTCACCAGCTGACCTGCAGGAGAAGATGAGACTGTCTGCTCCTGTAAAAATTGAGTCTTGGAAACCACATACAAGGTCACTGTGAGTCAAATCAACTTGATAGCAGTGACTGGTGTGGTTTTGATCCCTAAAGGAAGATGGTAAAAGCACTTTTCCTTGAAGTTTCCTCATCTTCATAAACACTTGCTTAAGAGTATATATTATCAACTGTGTTTAGTTCAAAGAACTATACAATATTAGAAGTAGAAACTTAGGAATCATGACAGGAAATAAAACTTGTAGGAACTAAAATGTTCAATCAAAATATGATTAAATAGTAAGTCATTAGGTGAGGGTCAACGTGAGTTGAAAATTGGGAAAAAGACCATTGAGCTATAGTGGCAGTGGTGGTGGTTGTGCGTTGTGGAGTTGGTTCCGACTATTGCAACCCTATACAGGGTTTCTGAGGCTGCACCTCTTTATGGGAGCAGAAAGCCTCATCTTTCTCTCACTGAGTGACTGGTACATTTGAACTGTTGGCCTTGCAGTTAGCAGTCTAACTTGTTATTCACTAGGCTACCTTTGGGCTATTGTTGTTGTTGTTAAGTGCTGTTGAGTCGGTTCTAACCCAAAGCGACCCCGTATACGGTTTCTAAGAGCAGCTGGTGGGCTTGAACTGCCGACCTTGTGGGTCAAACGATTTTGCAGTCATTTGCACATTAACCCACAGCACCATAGCAGGACTATAGTAGATACTTAATATTAGACGCAAGAAGCAAATGTCTACTCTTTGGGAACCAATATTCCAGTAGATAACAATGAACAAAACTTTGGACAAAAAAAATGAACATTTGCTCACTTTGCTGTTGTTAGTTGCCATCGTTTATTCTAACTCATGGGTGACTCCATGTATTATAGAGAAGAACTGTGCCCCATTGGGTTTTCTTGGCTATAATCTTAATGGAAGCCAACTACAAAGCTTTTTCTTCCAATTTACCACCAGGTTACCAGTTGGAGTCCTAGTGTGGTGCTGTATGATAACTGCAAGGTCAGCAGTTCAAATCCATCAACCGCTTCTCAGAAACCCTATACTGGTTCTCTATGAGTTGGAACTAGCTCCATGGCATTAATTACTACTACTATAGGTTAGCAGTAGAGTACTAACCATTTGTACCACCTCTATTGGCCCAAACTGAATCCATGTACATCAAAGACGATATAAATTCCCATCAAGGCAAACATGAGCCACAAGCTTTTTGGTTTGAGTTTGTGACAAGGAATATTACTTCAGTCCATTGTTGTTAGTTGCTGTGGAGTTGGTTCCAGTATCTGGTGACCCTACATGTGAAGAGTACAGCTGCTCCATAGGACTTTCAAAGCTGTGACATTCTGAAAGCAGATCTGTAGGCTTGTCTTCCTAGGCACCAGAGGGTGGGTCTGAACAGACAACCTTTTGGCTAATGCTTAACCTTCTACACTACCCAGGGACTTATCAGCATATATGTTGTTGTTCAGTGCCATACTCAGTTCTGACTCATAGTGACCCTGTATAGAGCTTCCAGTGAATGGCTGGTGGACTTGAACCACTGACCTTCCAGTGTTTCTCTTACAACACCACAATTAGGGAGATGTAAACAACCCAGTCATTTGGTTTGTTTTTTCCAGGTTGTTACTCAGAGTTCCCAGTTGATGGAGATTGTACTTTGTGACCAGGGAAGCCAGACTCACTGGCCAGGCTGGAAGGCAGAGTCCAATCTAGGGCCATCTCTTACACATAAGGCTCTCTGACAAATTTTGCTAGGGATTCTGGGTCCCTATGCCTGCAGGGCTATGATGCAGGGGACCAATTCTATTCAAGGACTCTCTGCTGCTCATAGTTTCCTTTGGGCATC